GGCTCGACAGGGGCCTTAATTCTGATTTATATTGTTGCCAAAATGCCTTTTAAGTCCTTTCTTTGCGAACAAACGCTGTATTCGAATAAACGTTTTACGGAACGCAAAATTTACTCCAGGTGTCGGCCGCTTGCGGAATCCGTAAAGGGGAAGAACGGCGAGGGGCAGGGGTAAAAACAGATCAGGTAGAGAAAACTGACCCAGAAGGTCCCCCCTTACCTGATCCATCATGCCACCTTTCCTGATGAGCCGGATCCTGGCTAATATGTTGATCTGAAGTGTGTATCTTTGGTGAGGAATCAGGAGCTGCGGAGGACAAGGGGAAAAAGCGATTAAGGACCTCAGCCTTTGCGTCGGAGGAGGTTGGCGGAGACCAAGGAGGTCATCCGAGAGGGCGATGCAAGGTATCTGAGGCAAGAAAAACCAAATGCACAGGTACAGCATAGGTGGCACCTTGCTCAATAGTAGTAACTGTGAGAGGGACCTCGGAGTCCTAGTGGACAATCCCTTAAATAGGAGTCAGCCATGTACTGCAGCTGCCAAAAAAGGCCAACACAGTGCTGGGCTGCATTAACAGAGGGATAGAATCAAGATCACGTGAAGTGTTAATACCACTTTACAAGGCCTTGGTAAGGCCACACTTGGAATACTGCATCCAGTTTTGGTCACCACGATGTAAAAAAGATGCTGAGACTCTAGAAAGAGTACAGAGAAGAGCAACAAAGATGATCAGGGGACTGGAGGCTAAAGCATATAAGGAACAGCTGCTGGAATTGTGGATGTCTCGTTTAAGGAAGAGAAGGACGAGGGGGGACAGGATAGCGGTCTTCCAGTATCTCAGGGGTTGCCCCAAAGAAGAGGGAGTCAAGCTATTCTCCAAAGCGCCCGAAGGCAGGACGAGAAGCAGGGGATGGAAACTAATCAAGGAGAGAAGCAACCTAGAACTAAGGAGAAACTTCCTGACAGTGAGGACAATTAATCAGTGGAACAACCTGCCTCCAGAAGTGGTGAATGCTCCAACACTGGAAGTTTTTAAGAAGAGACTGGACAGCCATTTGTCCGAAATGGTGTAGGGTTTCCTGCCTGAGCAGGGGGTTGGACTAGATGACCTCCAAGGTCCCTTCCAACTTTATTATTATTATTATTACCTTTGGTGGGACCAACAGACCAAAATGCAGAAAGCAGGCGGAGGTACCTGAACCTGCCAGGTGAGCAGAAAAACCTGGATTTGCACCTTCAAGAAGTAAGATGGAGATGGGGACAGGGACAAGATCTGAAGGTGTTCAATTCCTGAGGAACAAAATGGGGAACTTGCTTGGTGGGACAAACTCTCCAGGACAGAAGAACAGAGTTGGAAGGGGTCCTTGAAGGTCTTCTAGTCCAGCCCCCAGCTCAAGCAGGAGACCCTAACCCATTTCAGACAAATGGTTGTCCAATCTCTTTTACTGTTCTCACTGTCAAGAAAGGACATAGAACAATAGAGCAGAACAGAAGATAACAGAATAGAATAATAGTGGTTAGAATAAAATAAAATACAGAATATAGAGTAGAGTAGAGTAGAGTAGAGTAGAGTAGAGTAGAGTAGAGTAGAGTAGAGTAGAGTAGAGTAGAGTAGAGTAGAGTACAGTAGAGTAGAGTAGAGTAGAGTAGAAAAGAAACTGGAAGGGACCTTGAAGGTCTTCTAGTCCACTCTCTTGCTCATGCAGGACAACCTACACCATCTCAAACAGGTGAATGTCTAGCCTGTTCTTGAAAATCTCCAGTGATGGAACACCCATGATTTCTAGTGGCAAGCTGTTCCACTGGTTGATTGTCCTCACTGTCAGGAAGTTTCTCCTTAATTCCAGATTGCTTCTCTCTTTGATCAGTTTCCAATCATTGTTTCTCGTCCTTCCCTCTGGTGCTTTGGTGAACAACCTGACCCCCCTCTTCTTTGGGGCAGCCCCCCAAATACTGGAATACTGCTATCATGTCTCCCCTGTTTCTTCTTTTCTTTAGACTAGCCAAACCCAAGTCCCATAGCCGTTCTTTGTACATTTTGGTCTCCAGGCCTTCAATCATCTTAGTTGCTCTTCTCTGAATTTTTTCCAAACTCTCAACATGTTTTTTGTGATATGGTGACCAAGGTCTTGTCATGGGACGTCAGCCCTTCTGAGTCAAGCTGCCATTTGCAATTGACCAATGGGGATATTGTCAATGTCATTCAAGCAAAGCTGCCTATTGCAATTGACCGATAGGGATTTTATCAACCCCATTCAAGCAAAGCTGCCTTTTGCAATTGACCGATAGGGATGTTGCCAATGCCATTCAAACAAAGCTGCCTATTGCAATTGACCGATAGGGATATTGTCAACGCTGACGGTGTTCCAGTAATGCTCCAGCTATTTGGGGATTGGACCCAAAGCACCCATCATTATTGGCCCTAACTTTGCTTCTTTTTGCTATGGTTTTATTATTATTATTTGGGTCCGCTATTTGAATGGGGTGTCCCTCATTATTTCATGTGGACTAGAAAATCTCCAAGGCCCCTTCCAGCTCTATTCTATATCAATTTGCGCATTAAGCTTAGCTGTATTCGTTTCGTGGACTGCCCCCCCAAAAAAACATTGCATTATGGGGAAACTAGAGGAATCCAATGACCATGTTCCTGTTGACCTGCATCAAAACCCACGTGAGACAGCAATGGGTCCATACCTTGAAAACTGGGTGGCACATGGGGAGGTGCCTTAGAGTTGCCATGGTGAAGATCTCGGCCATCAGGTGGGTCTTCAACAGGTGGGAGATGTTCTGGTGGATGTGGAAATCGGCATTGCGGACCCACATCTTAGCCAAGGTCCAATCCCAGCGTGGGTCACTGGGAAGGAAGATGGGGTTTTCAGGACTGGGGACTTGGCTGAGCTGAGAGAAGGGAGAAAAGAAAGAATGATAAACGTAGAAGAAGAAATGAATGAGCAAGTAGCTGGGTCAAGGTTCAGTGGACCCAACTCTTTCTCAAGTTGGGTCAATCAAAGTTGGTTTACCTGGATGGCGATGGGTACGAGATCCCCAGATGACCTCTGGTGGAAGAGGCACAAAGGGGTGGCCAGATACTGCTGTTCCCCATTGATGAGGTTGGTCGGAATGCCTTGAAGGATCTTGTAGTCCACTAGGAAGATGTTCCCCTTCTTTACACAGAAGAAAGAAAGAAGTTAGGGAGGTCCTTGCTATCGTTTGGGAAACAGCTAACCTTCACAGTCAAAATGCAGCCCGCAACAAGGAGATGTTTATGTGTGTCCATGGGGACAGGATCAGAAGGTCAAGATGCTTCAGAAAGATCAGAAAGTCAAGAGGGTGGCTTCAGAGAGATCAGAAGGTCAAGATGGGGGCTTCATAAAGATTAGAAGTCAAGAGGATGGCTTCAGAAAGATCAGAAGGTCAAGATGGGGG